TCAGGATTGATCGTCATTAGGTAGGCGAGGCCTCTTCAGGATTTCTGGGTCCTTTCGATGCAACCCAAGATGCCTTAATCATCTTCTTGGTTTTTTTGCCTGGTAGGATGCTGCAGAGACACTGTTCTTTTCTTATCACAGGTCTGGCATCATCCATTTCTCATTTTAGTGAGAAGTGTATTAGGAAACACAGTCAGAGCATGAGGGCGCTGCTTCCCCCTGAGCACAGTGTCACTTCCAGGGGACAACCACGCTAAGAAATGGACATTTATGTCTCGGTTTTGTTTTCATTTTTGTTTTTAAGATAAAATGCTTTCTGATTTGATGTTAATATTTCTAACTCAAATTTAAAATTTATTTCTAATTTCCTACTTTATGTCTAACTTCTTTCATTTTATATTTGTAGTTATTAATTTAAAATTGTGATTCCTGGTGGTATTAATGTAATCATTTACTTTGTCTGAGAACATCTGTAATAGTTTTAAAATAACAAAAAATTAGATTATTACTGGGGGCTGGAGAGATGACTCGGTGGTTAAGAACACTGGCTGTTCTTGCAGAAGACCCGGGTTCGACTCCCAGAACCCACATGGCAGCTAATAACTGTCCATAACTCCAGTCCCAGGGAATCCGACAACTTCTTCTGACCTCCACAGGCATTGCACGACACGGGTGCACTTACATGCAGACAATACATACATAAACATAAAAAATAATAAATAAAATTTAAAAAAATAAAAAATAATTACTAAAAACATTCCTTTTTTTTATACAGTCTATGAACCAAGGCTGACTTCAGTCGCACTATGTAGCTCATGAAAGCCCTCAAACTCACAATCTCCCTGCCTCAACCTCCCGAGTACTGAGATTACAGGCATGTGCCTCCATACCTGACTAGATATTTTTCTTTTTTGTTGTCGTTATCTGTTTGTTTGTTTTGATTGTTTGACAGTTTTGTACATGTATATATAAATATTTTTATAGTTTTTTTAATGTTTTTTTTGTTTTTTTTTAGGGGGTGTTGTGTTTTTGTTTTTTGAGACCGGGTCTCCCTATAGTCCCAGCTGTCCTGGAACTCACTATGTAGACCAGGCTGGCCTTGAACTCAGAGACATCTGCCTATCTCTGCCTCCTGAGTGCAGAGATTAAAGGCTTGTGCCACCACACCCAGCTTTTTTAAGTTTTTTATTTGGGGCTGGAGAGATGGCTTGGTGGTTAAGAGCACTGACCCAGGTTCATTTCCTAAAACCCACATGGCAGCTAACAACCATCCATAACTCCAGTTCTAGGGGAATCTGACGCCTTCTTCCTCAGGCATTGCATAATATGGGTGCACTTACACATGCAGGCCATACACTTATACACATAAAAATAATAAATAAAATATTTTTTAAAGTTTTATTTGTATTTTATGAGCATTTTGCCTGCATGTATGTAAGTGGATCATATGTGTGTAGTGTCTGAGGATGCCTGGAAGAGGGTGTTAGATCCCCTGAAACTGGAGTTACAGATGGTGGTTAACCACCTTGTGGGTGCTAGGAACTGAACCTGGGTCCTCTGCAAGAGCAGCCAGTATTCCTAACCGCTGATCCATCTCTCCAGACCTCCCAGTTTTTTGTTTTGTTTTGTTTTTATCCTTAGCTACGTCTTACTAGGAATGCATCATCGTTAGTAAAAAGCATAATTTTTTTAATAAAAAATACCAAAAACCCATTTTGACTATTTTTCTTTTATACAGTTGTGTTTTTAATTTAATTTTGTGTTGTGGTTAAACAAAATAGTTTATTCTAAGTAAGCATACAGAGCAAGGTTGGGTCTGGAAGTCTGACTTCTGTCCTTGTGGTGCTCATCCTGTTGCCCCGCCTTAGAAAACTTGTTTCCTTACATTTTTGGTTTATTCTTCTCTTGCTTCTTTAAAATGTAGTTACATACAGTGTGTTCTAGTCCATCCCCTTAGGTAAGTGATAGCATACTCTATGTTCTTTTCCACCTTGCCTTTTTGATTTGACAGCATAGCCCAAAGATTATCCCAAGTAGGAAGTAGAGACAAACACACCACCCCTCTTGTTTCTTTTTACAGAGCTTCAGATGCCAGAATATAACTGTATTGAGGATTTTGTTTTTTCTTGAGGCTAAACCTTTTCTGTCACCCCAGCTAACCTCAAACTATCTACCCTCCTGCCTTTGCCTCCCACGTTTTGGAATTATAGGTGTGTTACCAGGCTCCACTGTAGACATTTTTGATGAGGAAACTGAATTATATTGTGTTTTTTTGTTGCTGTTTGTTTATGAGACGGTCTCACTGTATATCCCTGAATGGCCTAGGTCTTGCTTGCAAACGTATCTCTGCCTCCTGAATGCAAATTATATGGTCTTTTTCTACAGTCATTTGTTGGACTAGAGAGATGCTCTTGCAGAGGACCCAGTTTCAATTCCCAGCACCCACATGGTGGCTAACAACCGTCCATAACTCCAGTTCCAGGGGATTTGACTCCCTCTTCTCACCTCCACAGGCATTGAAGGACATGGGTGCACTCACATACATGCAGGCAATACACTAATTCACATAAAATAAAAATAATAAATAAAATGCTTTTTTAAAAATAGTCATTTGCTGCAAATTAGATAGTAAAATAATACTACCAAGTAAAAAGAAGAATCTAGTACATACCCGGATAAAGAGTAAGCTTCTGGAGCTGGAGAGATAGCTCAGCACTTGAACACTTACTGCTCCTACAGAGGACCTGAGTTTGATTCCCAGCTCCCATGTCAGGTGGCTCACAACTACCTGTAATTCTAGGTCCGGGGGATCCAGTGCTCTCTTCTGGCCTCCACAGATACCTACACACATGTGCATACACACACACCGGCACATACACATAAATAAAAAATAAAACAAATCTCAAAAATAATTTCTTAAAAAAAAAAAGAAGAAGGAGAAGAAGCTCCTGTAGGTTAAAGGATCTGCAAGATGTGTAGTAGAAATATGGTCTGGGGCCAGACATGGTGGTGCAAGCCTTTAATCCCAGCACTTGGGAGGCAGAGGCAAGCAGATCTCTGTGAGTTCAGGGCCAGCCTGTCTACATAGTAAGTTCCAGGCCAGCTGGGGCTACAGGGTCTCAAAAAGGTCCCAAAAAAAAATCATGAGGGTTTATATATATAATCATATATATATTTGATAATTCAATTGTGTAGTTCTCAAGGGGGAACTTTGCAAATGATAATGCAATGATGCCACTTTCCCTCAGATTGATACATTCATCAGCTTCATGTCTTTGGGCAGGTCACTGACTTTCACTTCAGTTCCTCCATTTAATTCTAAAGGAATATTAACTCATTGAGTTTTTGTGAATTTTAGAATATATAATATCAGGACTGATAAAATGCATTCTCAATAAATGATGTCCATTACTAATAGGTCATTAAACATAAATGATGCCTATTACTAATAGGTCATTAAACAAACATTTACTGATTCCAGCTCTGTCCTAGCTGCATTCCAAATATTAGAAAGTAATGAACAGAAACAGATTAAGGGAGGACCATAAGGAGAGAAATTTGAACCCCAGTAATGAAGGAAATGAAGTGAGGAAAGAAGGAAGGAAGGAAGGAAGGAAGGGAGGGAGGGAGGGAGGGAGGGACGAGGGGAGGGAGGGAGGAAAGAAGGAAGGAAGGAAGGAAGGAAGGAAGGAAGGAAGGAAGGAAGGAAGGAAGGAAGGAAGGATGGCTGGCTGGTCTGGTAATGGACATGGTGGCACAGGCCTATAATCCCAGCACTTAGGAAGTAAAGACAGGAAAATCAGCAATCTAAGGCCTTGGCAACATAGTAATTTTGATGTTAGCCTGTACTGCATGAGACCCTGTCTCAAAGAAGAGAAGGAAGAGAAGGAGGAGGAGGAGGACGACGATGACAACAACTACAATGACATATGGACTGGGGATGTTAGAGATTGTTGCACAAAGCAGCTAGGATTTAATTGAATTAGATATTAAAGATAGGCAGGATTTAAATAGATGGTGGAAGAGAATGTTTCAGGCTTAGGAAAATGATGGGAATAAAATCTTAGATTCTGAAAATAGATGAGAGTTTCAGGGTGTTTTTTAAGAGCATGTTGGGACACGAATCTTGGGTCACTGTGAGGACATGGACTGTTGGCCTAGAAAGCTTCAACCACTGATGTATCTATGCAGGAGTTTTCCATGGGTCCCCAGTGACAGGATTTTGAGCAAGGATAGAACATCATGTGCTACCGGACTGCTCCTAGAACAAATGCAGTGTTTCTGAAAGGTGTGGGGGAGATGTGGCCTGAAATCAGATAATGGTAATGAAAGAAATGTAAGAATTTGGAGGTGGGATAGATAACACTTATCCCCTACCTTTTCTTAGTTTTTAAGGTGAGGGGAGTCAGAGGGTAGAGAGAGAGTGCTATTCAATGATGACTAATTCTCATCCGGAGGCAGGAATCCAGCAGTGGTATCAGACCCCACTTGCGTATGTTTCCTACCACCAGGTAACCATGCCATTGATCCAGTTAGCACAGTGAGAGCCCAAGCCAGACTTACACATCAACCAAAAGCACGTCAACCCATTACTTTTTCTCTATGAATTGTGCTGCATTTTCCATCATAAGTGTATCACAACAAAGGGGCAGAGGCAGGGAGGGAGCCTATGTTGCATGTGCACACACATTTCATGTGTGCTAGCACAAGGCACAGAAAGGAGCTCAAAGACAGTGACGCTTCTCTTGGTCACTTTATGGAACTTCTGTGTGTTTAGAAAGATCCTGAACCTGTTCTGTAAGTCCCAGAGTGACTCTTTGGTCTTTTCTGTAGAATGACAGGGGAGTGGGGTCCCTTTATTTTCTGTCATATGACTAGTGTGCCCTCTAGTGCCTGCACATGACTCCTTAAGGGTCAAGAAATAGAGTCTGGGTTCAGAGTGTGCTGTATAAACTCTGCTCTGCCAGTTGCTCACTGTCTTCCTTCCTGTCTTACCTCAGGGTATTGCAGGCACAGATGTGGCAAAGGAGGCATCGGACATCATCCTAACAGATGACAACTTCACCAGCATCGTGAAGGCAGTAATGTGGGGGCGGAATGTGTATGACAGCATTTCCAAGTTCCTGCAGTTCCAGCTCACTGTCAATGTGGTGGCCGTTATTGTGGCCTTCACTGGAGCCTGCATCACTCAGGTTGGGCACAGGTTTAGATGGGAGGGATGTGGCAAGAGCTGAGGACCACTGGGTAGGGAGTATAGAGTGTCTTCCCAGGAGTAAGGACAAAGGTTTCCAAGTACCGCTGGGGCAGTTAGCTGTACAGAGTTCACTGTCTCCTCCTGCTTTATTGAAGTAATAACAATTTACCTACTATTAATTTATCATTTTTGTCAGCCAGTGTGATGTGCACATGTGTGAATTATTTTTGTCCTTTAAAAGCAAGCTTGGGGGCTGGAGAGATGGCTCAGCAGTTAAGAGCACTGACTGCTCTTGCAGAAGACCCAGGTTCAATTCCCAGCACCCACATGGTAGCTAACAACCGTCTGTAACTCTGGTTCCAGGGGATTCTTCTGACCTCCACAGGCATTGCACAACATGGGTGTACTTGTACACATGCAGGCAATATACTCCGTCATACACATAAAAATAATAAATAAAAATTTAAAAGCATTAAAAATTAAGTAAAAGCGAGCTTGGAAGTTAGATATTATTCCCTTACAGTGATGAACCCAAGACTTAAAGAGTTTATATAACTTTGTTATGATCACTTGGTAACTAGGTAACCAATTCGAGGTCTAGTGGCTAGTTAACAACCGTGTAACTCTGGTTCCAGGGGATTCTTCTGACCTCCACAGGCATTGCACAACATGGGTGTACTTGTACACATGCAGGCAATATACTCCGTCATACACATAAAAATAATAAATAAAAATTTTAAAGCATTAAAAATTAAGTAAAAGCGAGCTTGGAAGGTAGATATTATTCCCTTACAGTGATGAACCCAAGACTTAAAGAGTTTATATAACTTTGTTATGATCACTTGGTAACTAGGTAACCAATTCGAGGTCTAGTGGCTAGTGGGAGCTAGGCTACCTCAAAGGAAGCTAGGGCTAGAAAGTGAAGTGGGGTTGGTTTCTGGAGAAAGCTGAAAGGACTGATTCTTCTTCCTACCAGGATTCCCCACTGAAAGCGGTGCAGATGTTGTGGGTTAATCTGATCATGGACACTTTTGCTTCCCTGGCCCTGGCCACAGAGCCCCCTACGGATTCTCTGTTGAAGCGTCGCCCTTATGGCCGAAATAAGCCTCTGATCTCACGTACTATGATGAAGAACATCTTGGGCCATGCAGTGTATCAGCTCACAGTAATCTTTCTCCTCGTCTTTGCTGGTGAGCCACAGCTGGGGGAGGCAGATCAGCTGTTGGGTGCTAGATGTAGGTGGGAACAGAACAGCTAAGAAGAGATGGTAACTACAGTTTAACTCAGTCATGTGGTAGCTGTTACTGTGGCCCTCTCAGAGCCTGCATTACTCAGGTTGGGTGGGGGTTTAGATGGGAGGTATGAGGCAAGGGCTGAGGAACATGGGGAAGGGAGTGCAGGAAGCTGGTGGACTACAAACAGGCAGAATCGCAGCTTGTGAATGCTTCCTGTGTGTCTCCGCTGCACCACTGCAGCGCGCACAGCTTTACATCATGCCAGACATCTAGGAAACAAATGCTGATGGAGTCAACGGAGAGACAAGACCCGATAGGTTGAGACCAGGGCTAACATTTGAAATGTTTTACAAAAAATAAAATGTTTGGGGCTGGAGAGATGGCTCAGCGGTTAAGAACACTGACTGTTCTTGCAGAAGACTGAGGTTCAAATCCCAGCACCCACATGGCAGCTAACAACTGTCTGTAACTCCAGTTCCAAGGGATCTGACTGCCTCTTCTGTCTTCCACGGGCATTGCGTGACAGGGTGCAAAATAATAAATAAAATATTTAAAATAAAATAAAATGTTTAATAGCTAGTGTAACTCCAAAACGGACCAATTAGAATGGACTTTTTCATGGCCAGAAGCCACCAACATGGCTGTCCCAGCATGCTCTGTCTCAGACTGAACCCTATTTGAGACCTCCAACACTTGTCCTGTCCCCACTAGGTGAGAAACTGTTTGACATTGATAGTGGGAGGAAGGCACCGCTCCATTCACCACCTACCCAACACTACACCATTGTTTTCAACACCTTCGTGCTGATGCAGCTCTTCAATGAAATCAACTCGCGGAAGATCCATGGAGAAAAGAATGTCTTTTCAGGCATCTACCACAATGTCATCTTCTGCTCTGTAGTTGTAGGCACGTTCATCTGCCAGGTGAGATTCTGTCTAGACTTGGGGTAGGAGGGCTAGGAAGATGGACTTCAGACACTGGGAACTAGAACTCCCAATGTGCCCAAGAAAAGGACTGGGGAAGTATGGGGACCAAGACTGTGATTAAACACCAAGGTTCCCAGTTTGCTTCCCTTTGCACCTTGTTCTATAATTGACCCCACCCGAGCGCTCCAGTGCAGGTTAGCCTGTTGCCTGCAAATATGACTTTAGAACTCGTTCATGGTCTTTCTAAATATATAGACGTTCCATATAGTGACCAAGAGAAGGGATACTAGCTTCTACCTCCTTTCCATGAAGTATGTGTGCATGTGTGCATGTGTGCTGTCGGCTCCTTCTCTGCCCCTGCCCTTCTGTTCTGAAGAGGCTTATGGCTAAAAATGCTTCATAACTCACAGAGAAGTGTGCTTGGTGCATATGTAGCTGATGTGCTAAGACTGGCTTGGGCTCCTGCTCTGGGGATTGGGGTCAAGCATGGTTGCCTGGTGGTAGAAAGATTGGGCCTCTTCCTTCTTACCCTAGTCAGAGGTACATGTAGCTACAAGGGATTATGAGCAGGCCATACAACTAAAGAACTGCCTCTGGAGGCTGGAGAGGTGACAGCCGTTAAGAGCACTTTCTGCTCTTAACAGAGGACCCCATTTTTGTTCTCAGTACCCACATCAGGCAGCTCACAACTACCTGTGACTCCAACTCCTGGGGATCTGATACCCTCTTTTGTTCCCTGTGGGCACTTGCACACATATGCACTCACACTTACTCACACACACACTCACACACAGGCACACACACACAACACACACAAATTGTTTTTGTCTTTTTGAGACAGGGTCTCACTGTAGCTACAGCTGGTCCAGAACTCACTGTGGAGAACAGACTGGCCTCTATCTCATCACAATCTGCCTGCTTCTGTCTCCCAAGTGCTGGGATTAATGGTGTGTACCACCATGCCTGACCTAACACACATACCATTTTCAAAAAATAAAAATTAATCTTTTTGAAAAAGAGGGCTGATGAGATGGCTCTTGTTGCCAGGCCCAAGGACCCGAGTTTCCGAGTTTGAAAAACTCATGTAAAGGTAAAAGAAGAGAATTGGCTCTACAGAGTTTTTCTTTCACCTCCTCATGCACCCTGTGTGTGTGTGTGTGTGTGTGTGTGTGAGAGAGAGAGAGAGAGAGAGAGAGAGAGAGAGAGAGAATAAACAAACAAACAAACAAACAAACTGGCCCTTGCCTCAGCAAGGCACCTCCCTTACTGTGCCCCATCTTTGATTCCTCCTCTGTAGTGCCTCCCCTCTGTCACCCACTGGCCTCAGTCACAGGAAGCCTCCAGCTTCCTCTGCTCCTGCCATTGTTATGATAGTCACAATAACTGTGTGACTCCCATCAATATACTATATCATGGGGCTGGAGCGATGATGGCTTAGCCCTTAAGAGTGTGTACTGCTCTTGCAGAAGACTCCAGTTTGGTTCTCAGCACCTACATCAGGCAGCTCACAATTGCCTGTAACTCCAGCTCCAAGGGACCCAACACCCTCCCCTGGCTTCCACAGACACCTGCCCTCGCTTACACATAGTCCCTCTCCCAACACACACACATACTTTTTTTTTTTTTAAAGCAGGGCATGATGGTGCACACCTTTAATCCCAGAACTCAGGAGGCAGAGGCAAGCAGAACTCTGAGCTAAAGGCCAGCCTGGTCTAGATAGTAAATTCTGTATCTGGCTCCCTTCTCCACCTCTAGATCTCTTCTTTCCCATTTGCCAGCAAGAAAATCAGGACTTGCCCCACAAAGGCCCTGACTGACTCTCTGTGAGCTGCCTCCCTCATGATGGGTTGCCCTTTGCTCTGTTCCAGATTTTCATTGTGGAATTCGGGGGTAAGCCCTTCAGTTGTACACAGCTCAGCCTGGCCCAGTGGTTGTGGTGTCTCTTCATAGGGATTGGAGAACTTCTGTGGGGCCAGGTGAGTATGATATGCGCTCCTTTGGATTTTCATGGCTGCAGACCTCCTCTCCTCTGAGTGAGATGGGACAGTGACTGCAGACACCCAGCTCCTTGCCTTCACCTTGCCCTCCCCTCTCCTCACCTGTGCTTTCATACTCATTCCAGCTCAGGATCCCAGGTTGGAGTGACCAGTGCCTGCATTCCAAAGGTTTAGGTCCCTTCTCTGCCTTGAGGCTAGAAACCCCCAGCTTCTGAGACAGAAGAGGGACTTTTTCATTGAGTATATGTCATTCTAATGGAGCAGCAATCTGGCCAGGGCCTGCAGGGCTGCTGTGATTCAGAGCTTCCCTGCCTCTTCAGTTCTTCACCATGCTTTATCTGGTTGAACACCCTGCTCTCATCTGAGATAAATCACAAGATCTCTAGAGAAGCCATTTGGTACATGGTTCCAAGCATGGCCTCTGGAAACAACTAGATTTGGAGCCCAGTTCTTTTCACAAGTTGAGTCAGCATGAGCAAGTTACCATTCTGTGCCTCAGTGACCTCAACTTAGGAGAACAGAGTCATCACTAATTGATACTAATTAATAAATTGGCTACTATACCAAAAAAATTTATGACAGTGTCTGCTATCTTGTAAGTACTCAATGAATCTTAATGTGAATTACAATAATATCAGCTTTGCTGAAAATTTCATTCCTTACCTAATAATCATCATTAGCTCTGGCCTGGACTGTCCTTTGCAGATCCCTATCTCTGCTGAAAAAAGCCTTAGTGCCTCACCAGCTGGGTGGCAGAGGCTATTCCCTAACTAGTCCCAGAGAGCTCTCCCTGGGAATGCAGGGTTCCACTAGACCAACTGACTCTTTCTCCCCTCCTCCTAGATGCCTTGCTAATTAATCCCAATCCCAGCTCTCAACCAACATCTCTATACGCTGTTCTGCTTGTTGAAGCCTGCTAACCAGCAGGTCCCTAAACAGTTCTACATTTGAATGAAGCTTGGAGTATTTCATCTACTGTTTGTGAGTGTCTGGAATCTGGCCTCAGGTTTGGCTTATATGGCCTTGGTGCCAGAGAGTGGGTTTTTCATGTGTCTCTCAGCAGCTCCTCCCAAATCCCAAAGCAGAGCTTTAACCTCTTCCCATCCTAAACCTCCTTGTTGCTCATGAAGTTCCTCCATCTCACTGAGTCCTGTCTGCCCTTCATCATTCTTGTAAAGGAGAACTGACTGACAGGTCCTAAGTTCACCCAATGACAAGTTTAGAATTGTGTGGCCAACCTACCTTTCCTGCACCTGCTGTCAGGTCATCTCTGCGATACCTACCAAGTCTCTGAAGTTCTTGAAGGAGGCTGGGCATGGCACTGCTAAGGAGGAGATCAACAAAGATGCTGAGGGAATGGACGAAATTGACCTCGCAGAGATGGAGCTGCGCCGAGGCCAGATTCTTTGGTTCCGTGGCCTGAACCGGATCCAGACTCAGGTACTCTGTGGTGGTTTGACCTCATGCTGGAAGAAGAAATTTCCCCATCATGGGAAAGGATAGAAAGGCAGCCAGTATCCCTCCCCCTTCGTAAGGCTTTCTATGGAAGGACAGCTGTGCTCCTTAGCTGCAGAGTCAACAGGTCAGAGGTCTCTGTGAGACTCTGTTAGGAGGAAGTAGTCAACAGACTGAACCATGGGCCACTAGTCACAGAGTCTTTCAGGTGTGGTTGGTCTTGTAGCCCCCGCCCCCAGGTCTGTTTTTTGGGCTGTCTTCCCACATAAGATCTATTCTAGTACTAGTCCTAACCTGAGAATGGGGAATGTGTAGTCCTAGTACTTCCCTACCTGGAAGGAAGGAAGGAAGAAAGGGAGGGAGGAAGGAAGGAAGGAAGGAAGGAAGGAAGGAAGGAAGGAAGGAAGGAAGGAAGGAAGGAAGGAATAGAGACCCTGTCCTTTAAAAAAAGGAAGGAATAGACCATATCCTAATGCCAGCGTCCTCAGCAGTCACTTAATGTGACTTCCTGCTGCTATTGTAGTAAGAGATGTTCCCTGGAGAAGTCTTGTAAAAGGAAAATCACCCTCTTACATCTTCCTTGTTTGAAATTTAAGGCCATGCTGGGGAATCCGATGATAACGTGGGTATAAACAACAGTCTCTCAAATGCCAGAGTATCTTTTGCAGGATTCAGACTTGCTTCCCCAAAAGGAAGAAGCTATCATTTCTTCTAATCCCTTGCTCTCCTTGTAACCTCTGAAATGGAGTGGAAGCTGCTCTTAAGTCCTCTGCCTGTAGCCCTACAGTGACTTTTTTTTCCACTTTCCACATACCAACCCTAACTACCCTCTCAGTAAGTGGGCTGGCCTAGGCATTGATAATGCTTTGCCTCTGCTCCCACCCCTCAGCTGTTTATTGTTTTATTCCCAGGAGTCCCCATCTGAACAAACTATCAGTGCCGCTCTCATGGGTGCCCTCCTGAGCAAAACCTTTTTCTTCCTCTTAATTGGCTAGAGATTCCCAGAATATTTCATTTTCAAAAATTGGCCTTGAGATGGTTTAGAAATTTTCCTGGCCAACCCCACCTCCTTACTGCACAAGGAATACAAGCAAGCAAATTCTCTAAACCACCTGATAGGAACTCCTCTCGCCTGGGCAAGACCTGATGGAGAAGTGGGAAAGGTCTAGGTAGAAGAACCCTGAAGCTCTGTTCCTTTCTCTCAAGTTCCTCCTCCCAGGAAAGGAACCAAGGAACCAAAGTGTGATGTTCACAGACTGCCTTATGATGTCAAATCCCCACATCTGCCTACCCCACCCTCCACTGAGTCCCTGTAGAACTTGGTGCCTTGACTACCATCTCTGAAGCCCCAATGCTGTCCTTTGGGTTTGCTCTTCTCAAAGTAACCTCTTTGCTTTTCTTCCCTTCAGGATCATCTGCTTCCTCTTCCATGGTGATTTTTTTTTTTTTTTTTTTCCTAGCCAGGACCTATTCCAGTGTCTCCTGGCTCCTTGCCAGTTTTTTCTGGGGAACTGAGATTCACGGACCTTCCTTCCCCTTCACTGCCCATCTCCATTTTCTCAACTATGCTCCTCCGTTTGATCTCACTGCACACAGAGCTCCAGGCATACTTCTTTCCCATTTGGACCTGAATGGCATGAAAGCCTAGCTGGTAGTTCCTGCCTATACTCCCAGCACTCAGGAGGCTAAGGCAGAGGGATTGCTAGTTCCAGGCCAGCCTGGGCTACATAGCTAGATCTTGTCTCAAAAACAAACAAAAACCTAACCTAAGCTCCAAAGGCAGCCTATTAAAGATGTCACTGTCAAGATCCATCCATGCCATTGCAGTGGGTACCTGACTGGGCAGATGAGGCTGAGCATGCTAACTGTATCCTAGATGCCTGAAGCCCCCTTTCCCCTCCACACTGCTCAGCCTCAATAGGTCCTAAGAAATCCCCCTGCCATCTGACTGCTGATCGGATAGTCTACATCATTGTGACATGGGATAGGAGGTTTGCCAGGCCATTGCTCAGTTCTGGTTGGGATTTCCCCTTTCCCTGGTTCTGTCTGAGCAGTTCTTCCCTCTATTAGGGAAAAGTACTAGAAAGCAAATGAGAAATTTGAGGGCTGGAATCTTGGGAAAGTCAACCTGGATGCAATTTCATTGTAGAAGTTGGACCTTGTAACTTTATAAGCACCTAGGAAGGTGTCTCTGAGCCCCTTCTTTGTGGAGTTGGAACCCTCCTTCCAGAGTGCAGTTCTTAGTCCTCTGGAACTGAAAAGTTCATCCTGTGAGGAATGGATGATGTAGCTCAAACTTTGGTCTGGATCTGGAAAACTACCCCTAAATGTTCCATAGCTCTCCCCAAAAGCTTTGTAAACAAGAAGAATCTGACCTGCTTTTCCCATTTCTGGGGATGAAGTCTGAGTAATCGGATCAGCACCTTCCGTGCCTTCCTGGAGTATTTCTAAGAGAATTTGCTCTGATCTATGAAGGAGAAAGGATCTTTTTTTTATTTGTTCCTTATTACTTAGGGGGTCAAGGAAAAGATGGTAGATTGATAAGGCCCTACATCTTGGCCACTGTTGAAAAGTGAATGGTATTAATTGCCTCCATTCCTCAGGAGTAGCAAGCTGTGCTAGGCAGATAGGCAGATAGGCAGAGAGCTACAGCTGCCCAGCACCAGCAGCCAGCCCTCTCGCTCTAACTGCTGAGTTCTTGTCAGCAGTTCTGCCAGACCTGAGAGAAGCTCCAGAGCGTTAAGGCAGTGGAGCGGCATTCTCTCTTAACAGGCCCGGCCAGCAGAGTCCTGAGCTCCAGTGCAGCCAGAGAAAGGGTAGCTCAGAGAAGACACCTCAGCGGAACTAAGCAACTCAGTCTAGTGGCCTTTCCACCATAGCCACTGTGCATGGGCTATTACTCTGCCCGTGTTGTTGTTGTTGTTGTTATCGTTGTTTTTAAAAACACATGAGTTCTTTTCCTGGAAACTGCAAAACTAGGTAGTTGATTTAATTGGTTTAGAGGTTCTTGAGCCTTGAATTTTAGTTGCACATACTTAACTTTCAGTGTGTCAAATTGCCTGTCTAGTTTTGAAGAGTATAAGTGAAAGCAGTGAATGAGCTGCCATTCTCTGTAGCTGTTAGAGGTGGTGGGAGGGGAAAGTTCCTTTACATGGTAAAGGCTTTTAGACACCTGTCCACTCTAAGCTATAAGGGAAAAAAAACTGGATTGTGGTTGGGGGTCTGAATTCCATTGCCAACTGTTCCTTAAGTGAAATGTGTTATACAATTCATGTTTCCCCTTCTCTTCAGCATTACTCTAGGTAGAGGGAGTAGCTCTCTTGCTTTCCAACCCCCTTCCCCAGGCCTCCATGACCCTGTCTTCCTCTTCCTTCCCTTCTCTCTGACTATGGAGCAAAGCTGTCTCACTCTCTGATTCTTTGCAGATCGAAGTAATTAACACATTCCAGACTGGAGCCTCTTTTAAGGGAGTCCTAAAGCGACCGAGCGTGAGTCAACACCTTGATGTAAAACTGGCTCCTAGCTCATCCTATGCAGCTGGTGCACCAGTCAAATCTTCCCCCACCACCTCTGCTGCCGTTTCATCTCCTATGGGCAGTGAGTGATAGTCTGTTACAATGCATGATTTGCTAAAGCAACCACAAGAGAGCACGTGGCATCCACTTTAAGCACGTGGCATCCACTTTAACCAACTGTGGTTACCTTTTCTTTCATTTTTTTTCCTTTAATCTTTTGACTTAAGAGAGGAAAAAACAAAAATGCCCCTGAAAACCAGGCTGTGCATCCTTTCAATTTTTAATGTTGGAAAGCTATTAAACCTCAACTATTTTAAAGGCAATAATCGTGTTTTCTGATTGTTCCTCTGCATTGCTTGTTTCTTCTTTTCCTGGGTTTTTGTTATTGTTCTGCTTTGGCTTGTATTTTGTTTGCTTTGCTTTGTTTGTGTATGTTGTTGTCCCTCTCCTCCCCGCTTCTTCTGAGTCTAAACTGTGCCTCCTAAGCTTAGATGTGAGCTTAGCCCCAATGAAAATTTGGGAAACCTCTTTACTTGGGGGCAAGGGAGTCTCCGCCCATGAGTCCTTCACCAGGGCCTGTTCTAACTGAGCCAATAGTAAACTTGCTCAATAATTAGAGTCCATTTGGCCACCATCTCACTGTTAGCTGGCAATAAAAGTTGTAACTAGATTGGAGAAAGTAATCCAAACTTTGTTATCTTACCTCTCAGAGATGACTTTAAATCAAACTCTAAGAACCAATTAATTCACATAAGAGAGGAGAAATATAATGAAGAAACTGATTTTTTTTCTTCACTTACTAAAACTTTAGGCCTATGTGGTGGCACATGGCTATAGTCCTCAGCACTCAAGACTAGGAGTCTAGGAGTTTCTGAAGAGCTACCCTTTTTCTCAGCCTCTCACCTAGTTTGATCACTCACCAACCAGCCCTTTGTTTCTTACTTTGCACATTCAGTTTGAGGAAACCCTGTCTTGCCAGACTTTGAATTCGCATGCTACCGGTTTTCAGCCTACGGCTTGCTGCTCTAACTGGTAGATTATTGGAGTCTTGCTGATGCCTTCCTATTTCTGGTCATTTTACCTTCCCCAAATTGAAGCAGAGAAGAGGCAGTCAGTACAGTGTCTGGTGAGGAAAGGGCTCCTCCACCATCACACTTGCATATTATGGTCTTAAATACCTGAGTGCCAGTCCATCCCTTCCTCCCCATGTCCAGCCCTAGGTCAGAGAGTAAAGAATAGTTGCATTGCCTATGGTTCACATGGCTGTGAACTGGCAGACTTTCCAGGCTTAGATTTGTTTTTACCTTTTAGCTAACCATACTGGTATGAGGACGGGGTGGGAGTAGGAGTGATAGTGATACGCACTATTTTTTTAGGCCCAAAGGCAGGCAAGAAAGCACTAAATAAATATTGTCCTGTGATATCAACAACTCTTACTCTAACCCTTCCACAGTCCTCCCTTACTCCTTTCTCTCTCCTAGTGCTGCCATCCCCTTCTAACTAGTTTCTGTCCCGCTTAATCATCACTCTGTCTGATAGAAAGTGTTAGTGTCCCAGGTTTTAATGGCAGAATACAAAGCCCAGTGGGCTCTTGCAGAGAGGCTGATGTAGAAGATGGACCCTGAGTCCCCAGAAACTAGGGCCTGTTCTAACTGAGCCAATAGTAAACTTGCTCAATCATTAGAGTCCTTTTGGCCACCTTTCTCTAGCTTGCCTTCGAGGTCCCTCTTTCCCATTCCAGAGCGTCAGTGATTTCAACTCTACGTCCAAAGTCCCTAAGACAGATCCCTAAGGCTTCCTTCTGGAGGGAGGCGCCATGACTTCCCCTGGCACCTGGAAAGGGAGCAGAAAAGGACAGAATTGGAGTAGGGAAATGGCACCTTCATCTGACTGCACTGAGCTCCAGAGCGGCCTCCACACACACTTTGGGCTCCTGTGTCATGAAGGAGCCTTCAATCAGCCCCACAGGAAACACTTCCCAGAGGTTTTGAGAAATGTTTAAGGGGGGGAGTGTTGGCTGGCTAAGCAGAGAGTGTGACTTTCCCTCACATCTGCCTCATCAGCTGTGCTTTGTCCCCACACACTGCTCACACCCAAGACACTGTGCTCCAGTCAGTGAGGAGGCTAGCCTTGGGCCAGTGGGAGATAGGCTATGTGATTGTCCATCAGTGTGTGTTCTCTGAGCCAGTGTAGGAGTTGAACATTCTGACCTAGCATGGTGCCTCTACCCTTGCCCGAAGCCCCTGGGTCACATAATGCTCCCTAGCTCCCAGCTCCTCCCCATTTGAGCTTCCCTTACAAATAACTGGTTCCCTTTAGTCTCCAGGAGTCGAATAATCTAGCTAGATGATTGTTTCCCCATTCTTTCCACTTGTCCATCCCTCATTTACTTTTATCTCATTTGTTTGTCCATGACGTTGTTGTTAGTCACCCTAACAGATGAGAGGAAAAGCCAGCAAGCCAGGCTCATGACTCACTTCAACCCTAATTTTCAAGTATCAACTTTTTATATTTATAGTGGCTTTCACATATAATTGTTGCAGTAAGGTAATCTAGTTGCTTATAAACTAGAAGCCAGAAGTTTTGTTTTGTTGTTTTGCTTTGGTTTGGTTTTTTTGGTCTTTTTTGAGACAGGGTCTCCCTATAGCCCCAGCTCGCCTGAAACTCGCTATGTAGACCAGGCTGGCTTTGAATTCAGAGATCTGCCTGCCTCTACCTCCCAAGTGCTAGGATTAAAGGCGTGTGCCTCCACACTCAGCTGAAGCCAGAAGTTTTTAAAAAATCATCAATCGAGAAGACAATGGACTAGTGGTATAAAGATACCTGCTCTTCTATAGGAGTGTAAGGAGTTTTTTGTTGGTTTGTTTTTTTTAATATTTTTATTTTATGTGTATGTATGTATTGCCTGCATGTAGGTAAGTGTACCCATGTCGTACAATGCCCGAGGAGGTCAGGAGAGGCTGTCAGATCCCCTGGAACTGGAGTAACAGACAGTTGTTAGCTGCCGTGTGGGTGCTGGGATTCGAACCTGGGTCTTCTGCAAGAACAACCAGTGTTCTTAACCGCTGAGCCATCTCTCCAGCCCCCAGGAGTGTAAGGAGTTTTAAGACCTCAAAGGCAGAAGAAAATACTATGTTATATACCTTCCAAGGAGGAGTGGTTTGGAGCCTGTCCCTTGGCGAGTGTATCTATACCATAACCAAGGAGATAGCACTGAGTTTGACCTCACTTAATCCAAGTTGTCTTGTTCAAAGATTTTATTTAAATCATAGAAGACTTAGAACCACCTGATGGTTAGATGGAGACTCTGTTCTGCCTAATATCACCAAGATTTAGAGCAAAGGCAACCTGACTGGTGAAGGTCACTGTCAGGTGGGCAGCATAGCCATTGAAGGATAGAATGCAGGCCCTGACTGTTCCACAAGTTTCCAGATTCAGATGCCTTGATTCTTCCTATGCTTGAGGTGTCGATTTGACACTATTGACAGAGTCCTTTGCCTTCCAAGTTCTAAGCACTCCAATCTTGGGTAGGCCTGTGGCCTGTGGAGGAGAGAGACCTGGTAGGAAAAGCCTTAGCCAGTAGAGGCTCTGTCTCCTCCAGAGAAGAGAGACCCATAGTTCTAATGGTAAAGCTACTGTGATAAAGTGACAAGAGGCACTGGGCAGGAAACCCAGCGGGTTTATTTGACTGACCCTTTTTGTGCTACTACATCCGCATTCTTGCCTCTTCTCCAGAAATATATTTTTTGCTTACGCAGCAGGGAAATGAAAGAGCCCCTCTTACCCCAACATCCATTCCTCCTTCTTAACCTCCCCACCTTAACAGCTTCTGCATTAGTGCCATTTCTTTCCCAAGGGAAGAATTTCTTAACAAAACTAGGATTGGACCCCTCCCCTAAACAAGAGCTGTCCTACGACCATTTATCTTTCCCTGACCTCCCTCTCTGGTCTCTGTGGCATCAGACCCTGCCCCACACCCCACCCCAATTCTACCAGCCTAGGTTCTAAGTCACACTTCAGTTTAGGAATGTACCATTGTCAAGAGATGCTGCCTGTGGATAAGCAAAAGCTGCTCCCAGGGACCAGGACTGATTTCTGTTGGTTTCCTCCTCAAGACTCCTGATTGACTGAATCCCTTCTTTTGTGTGTGGTGGAACAAAGGCTGGTAAGGGTGAAGTGCTGCCCCCTTCGCCCAGCAACACTGCAATATGTTTTCCTTTCTTCATCCTTTTTAACCATCCCACCAGACACTCATTTGTAGCTTGCCTCCTAGATGAGGTTTCTCTCCTGGTCCCATGCTTCCCCTTCTCCACATAAGGACATATTCCTCTTCACAATTTGGAAAAGATGGGATGTGTGGGCAACATTGCTGTGGATCAGACATGGACTTGAAATGTGAACACCAAGTCTTCCTCAGTAGGCAGGAAAAGGTTTCTTTTGGCACCACTTTATCTGCATCTTCTGAGAAAGGGGATGGAGAGGAGTTCTGCTTTCTGTAGGGTGGAGACACAGTGGAGGTGTAAAGATGTGCATGTCTTCTGACTGAAAAAATTGGAGTTTTCATTTCCTGCATGCTGTGGAATGAAGATTGGTTTGTCTGTCTGCATAGTATCCACAGTCACTTGTCACCTAGTGTGCAGAGTGGTGTACGTTGGCTCATTGAGGATTTTAAATAGATAACAAAACTTCATTGTGTAATTTTCCCATTCCACATTCACAAAATGTTTGGCCTCAAAACAGAAATCCACTTGCGTGAATCATTTTTTAAGTTTGGCTGTTGATTTGCACCTAGTTTCAATAACTGCTCTCTATCCAAAAGAACTAATGAATCACTTTGTTTTATTTCATTTTAAGAGTGGATCATTTAAGAATGCTAACTTTGCTTTGGGTTTTCTACTTTTTGAATGCAACCTTTGAAACATCTTGGTTGTTTGTCATCACTTACCCTACCCCTTGTGCTTGAGATTTGAGCCATGGAATGTTTCCTGTCCCAGTGTTTTCCTCTTACACATTTGGTTTGGGTTGTTGAGCAATCATGTTTTGTAGTTGGTGTTTTGTTTCTTTCCTCAAACCACTAATTTCTTATCCTGCTCACCAATTCCCACCTCTATATCTTCTCATCCTCTTCCCCTGATATAGATCAGAGTGGTCAGAGTGTTCCATAGTGTCCATGAAGCCATTCATAAACCCAGGAACCAAAACTCCATCCACAACTTCATGACCCACCCTGAGTTCAACGCAGATGAGATGCCACAAGCTTCATTTGTGGAGGAACAAGAGGAAGTCCCTGAATCGGTTCCTAAGGTGGAGACTAAGATGCTTGCGTTGGATGGTGAGGCCGCTCCAAATCCTAACAGAAACAACAACTCCGTGGATTGCAACCAAGTGCAAATTGTTACTTCCCATTCCGACAACCCTCTACAAAGCCTGGAGACATCAGTTTGAACTTTCATTCTCTGACTCCTGTCCCTGCTTTCCCTATGTCTTTTTTCATCTGTCCCATCCATAAGGCGATGATTGGGACTTTTGATTGCTATGTCAGCTGCTCCCAAGTGTGTGAGAACCCCCTGCTTCACCATGAAGAAACAAGAGCACAGACCTACAAGGATTTCAACTTACACTTGAGTTGGGGTTTGTAGCAGGACCCAGTCAAATCCTGGGCAGGTAATGGTAGAATCTACTCCATAGGTGCATCAGTTTTCATTTTTTAAAGAAATGAGACAATCCTCCTGGCATCACCCAACCCAGAAATTTCCAGTGTTCCCACATGTATCGCCACCTCCTGACTTAGAGATTTTATCCTATGAGTTTCTGCCATTTACAGGCTAAGTTGTGGGCTCAGAGAAGAGACAAATACCCATCAATACAATGTGTTCCAATAGAATGATTATTCTTGGGACAGTTTTTCCCATTTTGAAAATTTACACCCTAAGGCCTCTATCTCTTTCTGCCCTCAGTCTGACCACCCCAAGGTTCTTTTGGTCTTATGTGACCCTTATCTTTACTCTTTTTTTTTTTTTTAAATAAAAGTTGTGATAACTAAGAGAACCGAAAGGACATGGGCAAGTTGAGCCAATTTTGGCCCTTCTGGCCCCCAAAGAACTCTTAATTTCAGTCTAGAGGAATGCAGATTTCTTTACTGAAAGGGTCTTTTTGGAGCAAATAAGAGCTGGTGAGTATGCTTCTCTACTGTGGCCTGGCCAGCTCCTACTTCTGAACTGCCATCAGGTCAGGTGCCTATGGATTTTTACACACCAGGGAAATCGGCCTTGACAGTGAAGCTTGTATATGTGTGGTGGTTTTTATCCTAGGCCTGAGCTTCCTCCTGTTCCTCCTGTTCCTGACCCTGCCTCCTAGCTGGGCAAGGACTTTCAGAGCCAACAGCTGGCAGGCCTACGACAAGGCAAATCATGAAGCATACTCTTAAGGGGGTGAGCACTGCTTCAAAGGCCTCTGCCAAGACTCTCACAGGACAGAAGCTGGTTGGTGAGGGAGTCGGTGTTGAAAAGCCTTGGGAGTGTCTGAAGAGCCAGTCAATCCAGCAGGATCTGAGAAACCTCCCTGCAGGCACCAGAAACCCTGAGCTAGGTACCTGGGTACTAGCTTTGACATTTTCTTCACTTTCCTAATTCTACACTTCCCTAATTCTTTGTTGTGTCCCACAATATTTTCAGTCTCTGAGAAGGTCCCGGCATTTTGCAAATATTCCGATTTTGAAAATACATATCTAGAGGAGGAGGCTCCCTGGCAGTGTGTTGATTCAAGGAGCAGAAAGGCCCTCCCTGGAAAACGCCCCACCTTCTCTCTCCTTGCTTTGATAGGCCCCATCCAGCCTTCAGTGGTGTCTCCACTGCTGCCCAGGAAAGCCCGTGCCTTTTTTTGCCCTGAACACTGCCCAAAGCATCCTCTGCCCACCTTCCACTCAGGAGTTGGGGACTTTGCCAAGAAACTTTTTTTTTTAAGTGTTCCTTACTGGGACAAAGTGGAGCCACATTGGCAGGTGCTCCATTTGTATCCCTACTGTGCTGACCTAAGCTCTTCTGTGCATTTGGAGCATGCATGTCCCCGGGTCCCATCTCCCATCAGATCACTGAAGGCCACCTCCCCCTTTCTAGAGTGAAGGGAATAAGAAGAGGATGCGTGAGGCTCATGAGAACTGCCAGATTTCCATTTGGGAGAGGAAGGTGCCTGGAGCCTGTCCACTCCCAGCCTTTTCTCCTCGAGATCCTTCTCCCTCCTCGTTTTCACCCAAGCTGTCCAAGATAGAGTGAGTGAAGAAACGGTCCCCGCTCTACATCTATTAGTGCATAATCCATCATTGTAGGAAGTAGAAAAACAGTTTTGATTTGGGTTTTGTCAGAGTTAACACTTCAGCAATCTTTTCTGGATCTTAAATACTTGTGGGGAAAAACAACTCACTCGAAGAGTAAGTTGTTCAAATAGATATATTTACATTAGAAGATTTAATTCTGTCAACTCTTTTATTACCTCAGATCATTTTTAAAGCAAGCCAATAACAAGCTTCGAAGGCCATTTTACCATTCTTGCTCCCAAAAGACTCTCGTGGTGCCTGACAGGTTACTCCTGAGGGCTTACGTCTACTTTTTCAAAGTCAACCGGTTTTTTGTGTGTGTTCTAGTTTCCATAATATGAGAAAAAAATATAGAAATATTATGCAAAAATATATAGTTTTCTTTAGCTCAGAACTGATATTTTTTGAGTCAGCCAAATATTTGTATTTCAAATACAGTGCCGTCATGTAACACCGTGGAGGGGAGCGCACAACCAGCTGTTTGACATGACAGGTGACTTAGTATATTTGTAATGATTTAAAAATCAGCACACCATATTTCCTTTCTCCAAACAGCCATCTTTATACTTGGGGGGGGGGGGGGAATTTGTTGGGTTCTGGGCTTTTTAAAATATAACTATTGTTGATATGGAATTGAATAAGTTCAAGTGTTTCTGTGCATATGTTTTTATATGTAAGTTTTTTCCTATTCAGTTTCAGTGATCCAGCTGGCAGTGAGAGTGAATATGACATAAGCTAACAACACTTTCCCCAAAATGGTGCTTTGGATTTGAAGAGTCTCATGGGGAGAAGGAGAAAATATCCTAGAGCCCTTTTCTGATAAGCCTGCAAAAACGGGTACTAAACTACAAGTAGTGAGGAAAACACCCGGAAACAGGCTTCCCAGCCACCAAAAAACAGACATGGGCCCCCATGGAGATGGAGTGCCAGGTTATTAGTGGCTTGGGATGAGGGTCAGCTGGGCTCCTGTTTCCTGAGGAATCCACTGGCAGAGCAGTACCAGTGACAGTCTTTCCTCACCTGCAGCAATACTCCGATTTGGGGTTTGAATTTCTTTATGGTTCTTTCACTGCCTGGTCCCCATGGAGTTTCCTACTAGTGAGTTTTTGTAAGTGGATCTGAGTTGTGCATCCTTCTCTCCCCTAGAAAGGTTTTATGTCATACAGCAGGTGGAAGACAGCACTCCAAATTGGAAATAAAACAATGGCTGCTTCTAGCTCTGGGTGACAGTGTTCAGAGCTAGGTCTTTCTCTGTCCTCTAAAGTAATTCTCCCATCCCAAAAGATGTGAGAGAGACCAGTTAGAATCCCTCTGGGCACTTGTGGATTCCTCAGGGTTTGGATTTCTTTTTCCCTTTGAGCTTCAGGGGAGATTTGCACAGATCAATCTGAGTGATTACCTCACTGCCGAAAACCCAGAGGGGCACAGCAAGCTCGAATGTGCTGGAAGACCCCTTCTGTATCCCTTCCTTTCTTTCCCATTACCCTTGCCTTACAATTAAAGCAACCTGTAATACCATCCCAGTCTGTACACTTGCTCACCTTCTGTGTCAAGGGATCACTCAATGGCACTGGTGGGGGTGGGCACTTACAAATGCCTGCTATTCTAAAGCCATTCCAGCCTCTTCCTCAGAATAAACCAGACCCCCTTCCATTTAGCTCAGTGCCAGAACTTTGGCCTTCCCGGCTCTGCAGTTTTGCCTGCTGTCCCCATTCCTCCTAACTGGGAGAGGCAAAGGGAGGTGAGCTCCCTGCCACCAAATTGGCCTTTGGTTCGTGTTTTATCCCCATATGTATATATGCCATATGTGAATATGCCATATATATGTGCCAACAAATCTGTCTATATCATTCTTTTCAAATCAGCATGCAGATAGGAATTGTTCCTTCTCAGTAACTAGTATAACAAGCACTGGTATTTTTATACAAAAAAAAAAAAAGAAAAAAACTGAAATTGGACTTGTGAATCTGCATGACAAACAAATGGTGATATCAAAGCAGTGTATTTCCCTATCGTGTGTTGCCATAATTTGCAATTCAGCTTAACAGTGCACCCAATCTGCATTTGCATTTTGATATTATTTAAGCTTTATGTATAATGTTTTGCATGTATTTATCTGGTTCTTAGGGAGGAAATGTTATAAACTAGCACATCTGAAATTTAAATGTGTTGTTCCACTGAGACAAGAAGAAAAGTTTTAAAAGAGGTAATTTTTTGGAACCAATAAAGCTTTTTGCTGATGAGCAGAAACCAATGCCACCATGCACTGAGAATAAAAACCCATGCCCACTTGTAATGTGCTGTCCTCCATGTGTCTCCACTTTGGGATAACACCACTGGGGCTCCTGGAGCTGAGAAGTGTTCTGCCATAGCCACCTGTTGGAGCAAACACACAGCTCAGTTTGTCCCTCACTGTGACCTGCTTCCTTCAGGGGCTCACAGCTCTGGCAGCCAGCCTCATTCTCTTAGAACCTCTTAGAACCACAGCCTTTCATGCCCACCCTGGTTAGCGGTGGGTAGAGTTCACATACTTGGGAAGGATGAGCAAGAGGCTGTCCTGGCCATTCTCTCTCCTTTCTCCTACTCCTCCTCGCCCTTCTCCTTCCTCCTCCACCTCTTCCCCTACCACCCCCTCCTGAGATGCCTTTTGACAAAGGTATCCCCCTTTATAATAACTTTTTCCTGCACACCCAACTTCTCTCCCATAGTTGTTCTTTTGTTTTTAATGGTCCTATTCATTGCATTTCTAGTATGGCTGGCATTAGACCCCAGTTTCTGATCTAAACATTTACTTCCTGGGCTTTCATGTCTCTCAGATCACTCCTTCTTACAGCTCTTACCCAGGTATACAAACAAGTTCATTTCTCCCTTTTAAATCACCATACCTGACAAAGACCATGTCTCTTGTCCAGGTTCCTTTAGGAAAGGTATACTGGTGAAGGACATCCCAGTGTTCCCTGGTGGAATCTCTGATCTGCTTCTGAAGATGCTGATTCAAAAGGAGGAATCTGTTGGATGGAAAAGACTCCTTTAGCCTGAGGTCTTATCCAAGCTTTCTTGTGTTTCCCAGATTGCTCTCCATAGGCATGGACCCCACAGCCCACTTGGTTTCTTTAAAATGGTGGCTAGAGGCTGGAGAGATGGCTCAGTGATTAGGAGCACTGACTGCTCTTGGGGAGGACCCAGGTTCAATTCCCAACACCCACGTGGCTGCTAGCAATCATCCATAACTCCAGTTCCAGGGGATTCGATGCCCTCTTCTGACCTCCACTGGCATTGCATGACATGGGTACACTTACATACATGAAGGCAATACACTCATACACATAAAAATAATAAAATATTTTTTAATGGAGGTGGTAATTAAATTTAAACAGTAAAGGAACTGAGGGCTTACTTGATAACAGAATTCATAAAATAGTCAAAACAGAGCTTGTCTTTTTTCCCCATTGTAAGTCCTCTCCTAAAAACCCTTGCTAGAAAGGATGGGATGTGCCTACATGCCCACACACCCATAGAGTCCTTTCTGAAGCATGACCTCCATATTTCATTCTCCTGCCTTGTCATCACTGGGCCTATATCTGTGCCTCTCTGCTAAGATAAGCAGAAGATCTTAAAAATCCAACCTCCTGACTCCAGGATGTGGAGGAATGGTGTCTGGCTTAGACTGCTGTATTCTAAGACATTGGTTCAATGCATTATGAAGGCCAGTTGGTTCCTTGCGTTCCCCCAATGAACATGGAAGAAAGTATGCTCTTCTCTTCCATCTTTCTCCCTACCTCCAGTTTTAGAAAATAATTGCCTTGCCCACCATCTTTAGTAATGGTTTGTAAGATCCCCTTTCTTGGTTTCCATGTCCTCTCCATGTGGTCACTGAATTGGTTTAAAGCCCTACCAAGCCCACCAGATTCCCTCCCAAGCATACACATGGCCTACTTCACTCCCTGCCTTACTCCCTGTGACAAGTCCAAAGATAACTCATCAGGTAGCAACATACATTATTATCTCCTGACCTGTTAGGACATGATCTTGTCCTAAGAAGTAGGAAGGGGATTGAGAATGACATGTCTTTCACAAGCAAATAATTATGCAGCTTTATTGTAAATAAAACATGTAAACATATTCCTATCTCCATGTGGTATCTTTAACTTCTGGTTGCCTAAACCAAAAGAAATAGCCTGCTATATGTGTAGATCAGAAAACATTCTTCTTGAAAACTGTTGCGCTTTCTGAATCTGCATCCTGATGTGGAGTCAGCTAGAAACAAGCCTTGACTTCTCTAATATTTTTTTTTAGTTATACCTCCCTGGCCTAGCACCACTTCCCTGTCCCTAGAAGATACACCCATGGGAGAGGATGTTCCTTGGAATAATGGCCCTGCTACCATCTCTAAGAGGACAGTGTCAGACTCACAGCATGCATTTCCACACTTGAACTAAGAAGTTAAATGATTCACCATTTGGGAAGTCAAATAACAACCAGAAACTGAACATCTTTTCATGAAATTTAAACAAGAATACTTGAACAGTCTGAATGGCTGATGCTCCCACTCTCTCAGGATGTATCCATCTGGACTCCACAGCAGACCTAAGCCTGTGTGCAAACTCAGTTGCCACTCAGTTTCTTCAGTGTTTCTGTAAGAACCAAGAAGGCCATCTCCTTTTAGTACATACTTTTTCCAAACACAGCACAATTGATCAGATTGATTCTTATTATGCATAGGAATACTGCACTGGAAGACTCTAGATATTCATGTCTTGGCCTACTTAAATTTTTTGTTTGTGATACTAGGGTATCACAGGGCCTCACACATACTAAGCAAGTTCTCCAACCGAAATACATGCCTAACCCTTTAGATCTAGGGATCCTAGCTCAGTTTCTGGAGTATTTGCCTAGCATGATCAAGGCCCAGAGTTCAGTCCTTAGCACCACATAAACTGCTGTGGTAGTGCATGACCATAATCCCAGTACTTAGTGGGGGAAGGCAAGAGGATCAAAAGTTCAAGGTCATCCTCAGCTACCATAGTGAGTTTGAGGCAGCCTCCGATACATAAGATACAGTCTCTAAATAAATAGACAAACAAAAAAATAAATTAACTCTGTGTGCAAACTTGTTAGAGAAATTAAGGCTGAGGAAGAAGAGCAAGAAAGTCACGATTGCTTTCACACCTAAGCGGAAGAGCAAATGCCCCTGTGGTCATTCAGAGCCTCCATTTGAGCAAGAATTCCTGCATCTTCCCTGTCACACCTTTGAGCTAGCTACTGCTGAACAAGTAGGAGAGAGAAGGAGGTTGAATCTATTTCTGCTTGCTGTCTGATAAGGGAGCTGAAGTGGCAAAATTATAGACCAAGTAAGACATGTTTGGCAGTGGGAAGCAGGAGATGTGTGCTCTGGTCCTGGTTCTGCTTCCTCACTGGTTTCCATCTCTACAAGATCATCAAGACACATGGGCAACTTTAAGATGGAAAAAAGACTCCTCAGAGATGATTCAGAGTACTCTGTGTTCAATGGAAATAATAGTTCTTAGAGCTGGAGAGATGGCTCAGGAATTAAGAGCACTTGCTAGTCTTCCACAGGACCCAGATTCAATTCCCTGTGCCCACATTGTGGCCCCTCTTCCAGCCTTCACAGGCACTACACACATACCTATAAACATACCAGCCATCAAAACACTTGTACAAATAAAAAAATTTCAGTTACAAAAAAAAAAAGTAGGTTTTTTTTGTTTTGTTTTTTGTTTTTAAAAAAGCTTTTTATTTTGGTGGTGGCTCATGCCTATAACCCCAGCACTTAGGAGGCCGGGGCAGAGAATTGTAACGTGTTCCAGGACAGCCTGTTTTACGTGAGTCCCAGGCCTGCCTAGGCTACAGAATGAGACCTTATATCAAAAAACAATGATTTTTTGTTTGGTTTTGGGGAGGAGTTTTTTTGTCCTCCAGAATAGCTGTATCTTTTTAAAAATGACTTTAAGCCAAACCTGGTGGTGCACGCCTTTAATCCCAGCACTTGGGAGGCAGAGGCAAATGGATCTCTGTGAGCTCAACACCAGCCTGGCCTACATAGGGAGTTCCAAGCTAGCTGGGGCTACAGGGAGACCCTGTCTCAAAAAGCCCCAAAAAACAAACAAAAAAAACAGACTTTAAAATTTTGAAGTAGCTCATCTATAAAGTCCCTGCCAGCTCTAAAATGCTGGCTCAGATTTAACAAACAAAACAGAGAAAAAGGGGCTGAGAGATAGCTTAGTTGGTAAAGTGCTTGCCATGCAAGCATGAGGACCTGGTTAAATCCCCAGAATCCACGCTAAAAAGTCAGGCATGGTGATATGTACTTGTAATCTCAGTGCTGGGGAGGCAAAGACAGGCAGATCCCTAGGGCTCTCTGGCCTGCCAACCAGCCTAGCTTGATCAGTGAGCTCTGGTTAATGAGAGACCCTGTTTTAGAAAGCAGGGTAAATGACTCCTTAACACCACCCAAGGTTGACCTCTGACCTCCACACATGCACATAACCAGTGCTAAAAAGATCACAGGTTGGGTGATACCACAATGACAAATTGCATGTTTAAAGACAAGTCTAATTTAGACCCTGTCTCAAGTATCTCCCATATTAATTATGAACGTATACACAAAGAAAATATAATAAAACTTAGTGATTGGAGCCCGGCCTACTGAGAACATTATCTAACTGACTGTAGATTGGAAAACTTCTGCTTTGGAATTTGTTGGGAATTTGTTTGGAAATCCAGAGATATGGCCAGGCTTAACATTCGAGAGGGGAAGAAGATGCCACTTGGGGTAAGGTGCAATGAGCCCAGCCTAAGAATTGGTTGGCCTATATTAGATCCTGACCCTGCTGCCCCCCTAGAACTTAACCCCACTGCTTCCTTGGCTGAATGTCTTCAGGGTTTCTAACTCTGACATGTTTTCATCCTTGCTCTAGTCTCTAACTGCTATTAACAGCTATTGGCATCTAAATGGAATTTCTCTTCCACTGCTTTATCTCCCCCATAATACAGCATAGTCGTGTGTGTGTTAAACACTACTGCATACCAGGACATGTGCGGGCAGGCTTCTCTCCAGGTCCAGACACCTGTACCCATAACAAAGACAAACTGTTCCACATCCCTGATATGTTTCTTTTCTAAATCAAATCCAGCACTGACCATGCTTATACTTAGCAAGATCTGTGAGAGGATGCTGTTGTCTTGCTTCTTGCCCTGGGCATTGGTCTACTCATTCATTAACCACGTACAGTATTTATTAGACCAGGCACAGTTGCATGCATTGAGGTCAAGGTA